CTCAAATATCCCAAAACTCCAACACTAAAGACGTACAGAGCACAGATCACTGACATGGTTAAACTACATCAAATGACTTTACCCCTCATCTTTGTACCAACTGTAACTTTAATAACCATTTTTGCAGTACATGTTTTTTTTTTTTTTGTGACTCTGGTGATTTCATGTTTATGTAGTTATATTTTTCCCGTTTAATGAAACCCAGCAAGTATTTTTGTGAACACAACTGACAAAATAGAAAAAAGGGACTGTCAGAAACACAGGTATGCTACATGAGACTGCTGGACGGACACATTTATCATAATTGTGAAGAAAAACTACAAAATGAAAATTTCTTAAAATACTAAGTGCTGGGATACTTTTTTTTTTTTAGACAATCATTGTTATGATCATTGTGTTTTTATGGTTTGGTGCTTTAACTTGTGTGTCAAACTTAATTTATCGATGATCAGCTGCATTTACGCCACTGATTAACAAAGCATTTGCTAATCACAATCATGTCCCTGTTGTCTCATAAAAGTGACTTGAAAATATGTTAATGGGAAGATTTGGTAGAAATATTTTAGTGAACATTTAATGCTACTTCAATTAATGAGGTGCAGTTAAAGCATGTGAATAAATGTAGACTGCTCAAATCTCATGAGTTGAACAAAAAATGTAATAAAAGACATTGAATTTACTTCGACTTACAGTTTTTGATCGGAGTTAAGGCATCATCAGACAACACGTTTAAAAAAAAAAAAAAAATCCTTTTACATTGTTATTTTATTAACACGTCAACCATAAGGATGGAAAAAAAAACATTTACATAAGTGCCACAGACAGTACTTTATATACTTTTATTAAAGTTCAGCATCAAGTAACTGGACTCAAATCTGTCTGAGTCAATGAGAAGAAGCTTTGCAGAAACCACAGGATGCAGATGGTTCTTTTATACACAAGTAGCTCCCGAATTTACTGACAAAAATGGTAAAAATACACACGAACCAGCAGCTTTGGAGCGGGTTTGTGACCAAATCAGTTGTTAACTTCAATCTAAACGAACACAAGTTTCACCCATAAAAACAGATTGAGGGCAAAACAGTTATAACCATTTAATAACTATGGGTTATTCATTTCTTTGTTAATTTGATGAATTAAACTTTTGGGCACGCCCCTCCTCACAAAAAACAAAAACAAAGAAAGTGTTCTCCATTTGTTCTGTCAAGAGCCAGGCTGACAGCCTTGACCTATTAAAAGTGGAGGTAACTGAAAATGAACAAGTGCAGTACCAAAGAGTCATTTTTACATCTCAAATTTATTTCCCTGAGAACAACAATAACAAATAAAGAAAAAGTACATTCTCCGACTCAGTAAGGGGAATTTGTTATGAAAGACTGAAACATGTGGAGAGCTGGACCCGGAGCCCACTGAGGAACCATGTGACCTGCACCCTGAAACAGATCAAAGCAGTATTTTGAGTAACTGCGACATCTTCACATAAAACAAACCGACAATGCAAAAGCATTAATGCTTACCTTAACAGTCAGAAAAGTGATGTTTCCAAACATCTGATAAAAGCCAGCAATTTGGTCCTCATGAATCCAGGTTTGGTATTTAGTGGTTGCCTAAGAACATTTTAGTACAATTAAGTAGTGCCTGTAATTGGTGTGAAAAAGTATAATTTATGAATGTAGAATTAAAGCTACCTTCAAGCCGAGATCCTCCACGAACCACTGGTCACCCAGAAAGTTGCAGGCCATGTCGGTGTCTCCGTTATAGACGAGCGCACGGAGGCCCAGAGAGAGCAGCTTCAGGTACACGTCCTTCATTGTTGCATACAGCACTTTGTACTGCGCTCCAACTTTATCACTGCAACAAATACATACTTATCGTCACGGAAATCACACCATGCTAATTACAATCATACTCTGCATTCAGTCATTAGTTATTCATTTGTGCTTTTTTTGTCCTGTCTTCCTCCCCTCACCCCCATCGGTAGCGTCAGCTGGCCGCCCCTCCCCGAGCCCGTTTCTGCTGAAGGTTTCTTCCTGTTAAAAGGGAGTTTTTTCTTCCCACTGTCACCAAGTCCTTGCTAACAGGGGGTTGTCTCATTGTTTGGGTTTTTCTATTATTTTAGGGTCTTTACCTTACAAAAGAAAGTACAACAACAGGAGGCCGTTGCCTGATTTGGTGCTATATAAATATAACTGAACTGAAGTGAACTGAACTAAGATAATGCTTTAAATGCGAGGGCCCTGGAAAGTTATACTGCCTTTGAGAAAGGTGTAGATTTCTTAAAAAGTGAAACTTAATCTTCATTTCGCCTTCCATCAACACCATCGTCCACACCAGGATTTATTTGAACTTGCTGTTATTGGCAGAAATGCTGATATATGTGAGGATGTATACATATAGAAGCCTCAGTGTCTGAGTTTATTGTTATTATTATTATTATTATGATGATGATGATGAGGAACAACCCACCATTAGAGAGCCACAGTCATGTGTTTACACACTTTCTGGAAATCCAATAAACTTCACTTCTCAAATATCACTGTGTGTGTCCTATATGATATATTTAACTGACATTTTTTATTGTAACAACCAACGATTTATACAGGAAAATAATGACTATTAACAAGGTTGCCCAAACTTTCGCATCCCACTGTATTCAGTAAAACTGCAACAAAGAGGACTTGAGGTGCACACATAGCATTATTTATCACCAATTTTGCAATAACCAGAAGATTTCATTATTTGCCGTACCTGCAGATATCCCAGGGAGGCAGGATAGCTGGAATGTGCAACGCTTTCCTCACGTCACCTCTGTTCAGCCAGTTCATCTGGGCTGTGCTGTTGATGCAGGGTGGGACTTCACCCAGAGTGGTGGAGGAACTTCTCTGTGCTGAAAACTTCAATAAACATTATCATTAAAACCCAGGACAAGTGAAGGACAGACATGGAGTTCACGAAAAACTTGTTTTTGGAGGGTTACCTTGTGTGTATGTGGGTGATTCCTGTAGTTCCTAAACAGAAGACTCATGGTCCTCTCATAGACTCTACTGGATCTTCTCTGACCTTCACAGTCCAAGTAAAGGGCGTACTCATTAAGTCCACTATTATAGATGAGACCAAAGGCCACGTTTACCTGTAAAGGAGACAAAGAAGTATATGTCTGAAAGACTCTGAAGTCAACATGAGAAATTCCCAGTTGATTAAGGCAACAGTGAACACGTTACCAGTATCGTGCATGTCTCAGAACTGGAGTTGTAGAAATTGCAGGTCCCATCCTTACAGCAATTTATGTTCAGGTCACGCCACAAACTGCACAAGAAACAGCTCTGCATCAGCTCTGTGCAAATGATCTCTTAACTTGAAGGCAGATTACTTCTGTCATATTTTTATATGAAGAATGATATTAAAATGTAAAAATTTTAAATATGCTTCCCAGCTCCTGACTTTAATAAGAAAAATAATCTAAGTGATCAGATTTTTTTTTTTTATGTAGCAACTCAAGATAATTTATCTCGTGTGTAATGGAGCATGCAAACAATAAACACCATTGCTTCATAATAAAACAAGAAACCTTGGCAAAACTTACTCTTCTCCAAAGAGGCCGTGGTAGTAACCAAAGTAGATCAATGACTGGTCATTGAGATTAAAGCTGCTGAGGCCATTTCCTACTGCAAAGCCCTGGAAACAAGCAAATGCGTCACTTTAAACCACGTCAGTGGGCACAATATAGAGGAACAACTTCTCCTTCATCATGAAACTACATTAAGGAAATGAGGCAGATGAAGCATCTCACCTTAAAGTTTATTTTGGCTTTTCCCGTGGCCACAAGGAGGCTGAGTGTTGGTGCATAAATTCCACCGTAGCTCTCCCCGAAGATGAAGAACTTGTTCTGACTGAAGTTTGGGAACTTGGAGAAGAAATTCTGCAGGGCTTTGTAATTATCTTGGGCAACCTATGATAAACATTTCACATGTTTTCACATTTCACAATCACTTTTTCTTCCTTTGTAAAAATCTGCATTGGTTATTTAACACACTGAACTCACCTGGTCATCATCAGTTGCATATTTCTCATCATCAGAGTAGGAATATCCCACACCTGCAGGAGACTCGACATACAGCACATTGGCAATCTTGTTCCAGCTGAATTCGTTCTCGTACAGCGTAGCCCCATCATCATTTACCTGAAAATCAGATTCAAGACTTTTCTATTGAAATCCACTTTACTCAGTGCACGAGTATAGTTATGCACACAGTGAGCAAACTCACATGAAATGGTCCATTCTCTGAGAGGAACCCATCCAGCGAGCTGCAGCCAGGGCCTCCGTTCAACCAGAGCACCAGAGGGTCTTTGACTGGGTCCCTCTGAGAAGTTACAAACCTGCAGGAAATCAGGACACAAGCTATCACAAACTCAAAGTTACTCTTTCCAACTAACTAGATAATCTCTTGTGAATAGTGAAAGCAGATCTGCAGGCAAGAACGAGTATAATAAGGACCAATTGCTCCAATGCACTTTAACCTGAGAGCCAATACAATAATTGAGCTCAGAAAACCTTTGACACCCCTCATACACC